TGTATGAAATGATGATGAGACTGCAAGCTCTGTGAGGGCCAAGATCCACCTTCTTTGTCTTTGGGGTTCTGCACCTCATATTTCCTGGCTTATAGTAAGTGCTGAGAGATCTGTTACTTACATGCGTTTCTTGATGTCAGACTTTTATATCACTCTTCCTTTATGTCACTCTTCCTCATCTAGATAACTTGAGATTGTACAGACAGGGCTGTGGTGCACACATTGCCAAGCATATGTCATTTCCAATAATCTTATTTTATGTTGCAAAATCTAAACTGTTTTGTAAATTTGGGCTTAATTTTGAAATTTTGAGCTGAGTTTGAGGATACCTATCCTTTTCCTTTCCCATATTTCCCAAATTCTTTGTTGTTCGTCTTTCCAACGTAGAAGTTTTATTGTTTTTTTTACTTTTGTTTTACAAATTTCCCCCATTATCTTCAGAATTAGGTTCTCCTAGTCATTTATTCTATTCTTAGAGAGATTAAGTGATTACCACATAGGGCAAAATTGCTTTCAGCTGAAAAATACTTCACGCAGAAACTTAGGAGTGAAAATTCCCCAATGCTACTCTATCTTGCCTCCAGGCCTACTAAAACTTCCATCATGCTCATAATAATGGCAATGTTGTTAACACTATTCTTTATAATTTACAAAACACAGTACAATTCCATTTCATCATCACAATAAATCTACAAATAAGTATCACATTCATTTTGTAGCTGAGTTTCAAATAACTGAAAAAAATTGTTCACAATCATAATGCTCATCATGCTCTAAAATATGAACAGGTTTTAAAAAATCTCTTAATTATGTACTCTATTTTCTTAAATGTTGACATAATTTGAAATAAAGAATGTGGCAGTACTATAAAAATACATATATCCATATGTATGTTTGTATCTGCAAAAATAGAGTTTTCCTGAACCTTTTCAGAGTAAGTTGCAGACATGATGCCCCTTTACCACTCATATTTCAGTGTGCATTTCCCCAGAATAAGTACATTCTCTTACATAACTGTAGTACAAAAGGGAGAAATTAACATGGATACAATGCTATTTTCTAATCCACAGATTTAACGTAGATTTTTTTTTTTAACAGTTCTTCTGTTCTTTTGATGACACTGTTTCCTTCATCTGGCGAAGTAGGACCTTCCAATAAGCTATTTTTAGTTTCCCTTTCACTTGTGTTTCACCTATGGTCTCTCTAGGATGATTTCAGGGTTAGGTTCGTGAATTTTCCTGTATGCCTGTATGTTTTTTGACCAGGAACTCACTTCTCTCCCTCATCTTCCTTTCCTAAAATGTCTCTTTGAAGTCCTGCATGCTTTCTCCTTTTCACATTCTAATACTCAGCCTAACTTCATCTAAATGTGTTGATTCCTGGAGGACAATGTGAGCAGTGCTGTGATGAACCCTCCAGTTTATTAATTATCTATTGTCTTCTTCTAAGTATGTATCTGAAATTTAAATTGCCTATCTGTACTCAGTATCAGTTTATATTGTTTCCTTCTGTGAATCTCTGACCACCTCTTCCATTTTTCTTGCCATGTTAAACTTACTATTTGCATAGAGACTAGACTCATATGTTTAGCCAGAAGTATTTTTTTTTCCATCTGTCTACAAATTCTGTTTAAATCCCTCATTATCAAGCTGTATATCTTTGGAACAATACTTTTCCCATACAAATGACATAGCTTATTGGCAAGGGATAAGATGTATCAGTCTGGTACCTTGAGTCATAATTTGAAATGCACATATTTAAAATTCCATTTTCATGCCCAATATTTTTATTCCCACATATTCTTTTCTCTTCCAAGGTTCCAACTGCCAGTGAGAACAATGACTAAACACCACCTGTGAGTACTTGTCTTTATTAATTGCCAAAGACTTTATAATCCCTAAAAAAATCTTTTATTACTCAAATCTTCAGGATGGCAAGTAATTGATAAAATTGAAAAATCTCAAAAGTGTCTATATACCTAGAAAGACTACAAACCTATGGATTGACTATTTAGGATCGTCATTCATTCACACATGTGTTCAAGAAATATTTGAATTCTTGAACCCAGATAACTGCCTGATAATTTGAAAAGTACAATACAGGGCTAAATAGGACAACTGTCTGGCCTCATTAAGCTCATATTACAGTCAGAGTTTCAGATAATAAAGAAATAAGAAAACAGGTAAGTACAGAGAGTGACATATGCAACAATTGAGATTTAAACCATGGCAAGTTAGTAAGTGACTTGTGAGGAAAGCCTCTTTAGGTAGTGCAGGCTGGGTGGTTCTTTCTGATCTGATAAAAATTAGGAACAAATATCTCCAAGAAAAATTCAGGTAGGGAGGACTAAAAAGTCTGCTGTTTTCAAATACGGAACTGCATAGATGTATAGGTATGATGATTAAATGAGATTAAGTCATGTGTGTCTCTTGGTGTCTCTTGTGTCTCTTAATAGTAGTGTGAGGACAGTAGTGAAGGTATTTTAGATTGTGAAGTTGTGTTCTTACTAGTGACTGGATAAAGAGAGATATGAGACAATTAGGAACTTGTTCAGATGACAAACTCTCAGAATAAGATCAATGTGTATTCTTGAATAATTTGATCAATGATATGGGGTTTCTGGATAATTTCTTCTTCTTCATGGTCCAGTGATAGTGTGGGGGTTGCTATGTTGTTTGCTGCACAAAAAGAAATTGACTGTCAAATATAAATTGTCTACTACAAATACATGGTGTTGTTAGAGTTGATATCTAGTCAGACATGAGCAGGGCAGAAGACGCCCTGCCCCCACCTGGAATTGATGGTTAGGTGGTTGTAAAAACGTCTCTCTAAAATAATAATTGGTGGCAGCCTATGCCAGGGAAAGGCAGTCTCCCAACAGATAGACGGTGATCAGCATCTTCCCAATAAGATATCAGGAGCTGGGTGAGTGGCTCACGCATGTGCCCTAACAGGCAAAATGGAGTGTAACTGGAATATGACCTTCCTCTAGAAACACTGGACAGGTAAGGGAAAAGCACCTCAAGTGAGCATGTGTACAACTTTAGTAAACACCTGGTGCATGCAGACCCTCCCAAGAGCTGGCAGGCCACTGTGCATGTGGGCAGCCCTCATCAAAGGAAGAAGTAATGCAACCCCAGAAGCATGCCAGTGTATACAACCCCAAGCCAAAGGTCACATCCTGCACTTGAATCTCTCAAGTTGTCTGTTTGGCCATCTTCCAAGTGTAGTTTACTTCCTTTCATTCCTGCTCTAAAATTTTTAGTAAGTTTCCATTTCTGCTCTAAAATTTGCCCCGGTCTCGGTCTCTCTCTCTCTCCCTCTCTCTCTCCCTCCCTCTCTCCCTCCCTCTCTCCCTCCCTCCCTCCTTCCCTCTCTCCCTTCTCTCCCATTCTCCCTCTCTCCCTCCTTCCCTCCCTCCCTCCCTCCCTCCCTCCCTCCCTCCCTCCCTCCCTGCCTCCCTTGCTCCCTCCCTCCCTCCCTCCCTCCCTCCCTCTCTCCCTCTCTCCCTCCCTCTCTCCCTCTCTCCCTCTCTCCCTCTTGCCTTATGCCTCTCAGTTGAACTCTTCCTTCTGAGGAGGCAAGAATTAAGGCTGCTGCAGACCCATATGGATTCACCGCTGCTTACAGTTTCTCATCCACAATTGCCTAGGAGTTTTTGTCATTCCAATTGTCTAAAACGACTTGCATTTTCCTAAGTGGGGTCTAGTGTTCACTTTCCACAAGTCTCCAGTCATGCTCGGTGTCTTCTTCTCTTCTTTTCACTTATTATTTCACTCGACTCAGGTTTGTATTCTTTTCCTCTACTATCAGCTTCACGATTATTTCAAAGGTATTCAACCTTTTTGTGCCTCAGCTTCCTCAACTGTGGAAACATTGTTGATACTATCTTTTAGGGCTGTAGCCTGGGGTTGCTCAGATAACATTTGTAAAGCAATTAGCACAACTCCTAGCAACTATTAAACGCTCGTATGTGTTAGCTATTATTTTTATTATGAGAATCTTGTGCTTCCTCAGTTTTCTTCCACCACCCTTGCCCTCAGCATTTTCTACATTCTCATTTTAGTATATATTATTCAATATACTATACTGGATAATTGAGCAGGTTTATTATAGTTTTTCAGTTTTTCAGCTTTTTAAAATTGTGTTTTCACTTTATATTGAAATATACAGGCCAGGTGCAGTGGCTCATGCCTGTAATTCCAGCACTTTGGGAGGCCGAGGTGGGCGGATCACAAGGTCAGGAGATCGAGACCATCCTGGCTAACACGGTGAAACCCTGTCTCTACTAAAAATACAAAAAATTAGCCGGGCGTGGTGGCAGGCGCCTCTAGTCCCAGCCACTCGGGAGGCTGAGGCAGGAGAATGGCATGAACCTGGAAAGTGGAGTTTGCAGTGAGCCAAGATCGCGCCACTGCACTCCAGCCTGGGCGACAGAGCAAAACTCCGTCTCAGGAAAAAAAAAAAAAAAGAAGAAATATACATTTAAAGAGTGCACACAATCTAAACCAACTGATTAATTTTTCACACAGTGAAATCATATAAACATCACCCATGCCAAGAACTAGAATATATTTTTTAACTTTTGTTTTAGGTTCAGGGTTACATGTGCAGGTTTATTATATAGATAAACTCGTGTCACCTCACAAGGGTTTGTTGTACAGATTATTTCACCTCCCAGGTACTAAGCATAGCATCCCATACTTATGTTTTCTGATCTTCTCCCTCCTCCTAACCTGAACCCTCAAGGAGGTCCCAGTGACTGCTATTCCTCTTTTTATGTTCATGTGAAGAACTAGAATATTGAGAGCATCTCAGATGTCTTGGTTTTGGCCCTTCTTAATCACTACCTCTGCACAAAGGGAACCACTATTCCTACATTTATAGCCATAGGTCAGGTTTGCCTGTTACTGAATTTTATATAAATGAATTTGAACAGCATTTGCTCCTTTGCACCTGGCCTTTTGCTCAACATTGTATTAAAAATATTATTTCATACCGTTTGCACGCAGTGGTAATTTGTTAATTATCTGTGCTGTAAAGCAGAAGTGAGCAAATAGCTGCCCAAGGGTAAATTCTGGCCCACTGCCTACTTTTGTAAATACAGTAATTCCCCCTTTTTCTGTTTGCTTTCCATGGTTTCAGTTACCTGCAATCAACCTGGGTTGGAAATATTCAATGGGAAATTCCAGAAATAAAGTAAGTCATATGTTTTCAATTGCATAGCATTCTGAGTAGTATGGCTGAATCTTGTGCCCTCAGATCCCATCCTGCTGGGGACTTGAGTCTTCCCTCTGTTCAGAGGATCTACACCGTCTATGCACCCGCTCCTTAGTCATTTAGGAGCCCTCTCAGTTATTAGATCGACTGTCACAGTATTGTAGTGCTTGTGTTCAGGGAATCCTTAATTTACTTCATAATGGCCCCAAAGCACAAGACTAATGTATTAGTCAGGGTTCTCCAGAGGGACAGAACCAGTAGGATATATGTATATATAGAAGGAAGTTTATTAGGGAGAATTGACCCACATGATTACAAGGCGAAGTCCCATAATAGGTCATCTGCAAGTTAGGGTAAAAGAGAAGCTGGTAGTGACTCAGTCCACATCTGAAAGCCTCAAAACAAGGGAAGCTGATGGTACAGCCTTCAGTCTGTGGCTGAAGGCCCAAAAGTCCCCAGGAAGTCACTAGTGCAAGTCCCAGAGTGCAAAGGAGTCTGATGTCCAAGGACAGGAGGAGCAGGAGCAAACATCTAGCACTGGAAGAAGAAAGAGAGCCAGAAGACTCAGCAAGTAAACTTATCCCGTCTTCTTCCCCCTGCTTTGTTGTAGTTGCTCTGGCAGCCAAGTGGATGGTGCCCACCCACACTGAGGGCGAGTCTTCCTCTCCTAGTCCACTGACTCAAATGTTAGTCTCCTCCAGCAGACCCTCCCAGATATCCCCAGAAACAATACTTTACTAGCCATCTCAGCATCCTTTAATTCAGTCAAGTTGACACCGAATATTAACCATCACAAGTAGTGATGCTGACAGTTCAGATATGCCAAAGAGAAACCATAAAGTGCTTTCTTTAAGTGAAAAGGTGAAAGTTCTTGACTTCATAAGGAAAGAAAAAAGTTTGTATGCTGAGGTTGCTAAGATCTATAGTAAGAATGAATCTTCTATCTATTAAATTGTGAAGAAGGCAACAGAAACTTGTGCTAATGAAACTGCCTTTGCAAAAATTATAACTGAAAAAATTCTGACAGTGAGAGAGATCTGATCTAACCAACTCTGTCTGTCTTCTAACCTCCAAGCTGCCTTTGTTCATTCCTGGGTGTAGGGTGAACAAACTTTAGAAGGAATTTAGTTTGCAGTTTAACTTTGAAAAAAAGATGATAACAGCCCTTCCCCGAAGCAAACCCCCTTTTTGCTTAGAGACAGATTTTGTAAAACCAACAAATGAGCCACAAGATTAGAAATTGTAGCCCGGGAGTCATGCGGCCGGAGGCCACAAAATTACTAACCTCCTCAGCTCCTATAGATAATAGCATTATAAAACTTAAGATTGGTGTTTGAGGTTCTTTTCAGACCCTGCATTCTGATGGATCAACTGGAGCTACCCAGCCCTGTAAACTGGTTTATCTGTTCTTGTGGTCCCCCCTAGGAACTGACTCAGCACAAGACGACAGCTTTGATTCCCTATGATTTTATCACCAATCCAACCAATCAGCAATCCCCATTCCTTAGCCCACTGCCTGCCAAATGATCTTTAAAGACCCCTAGCCTCCAAACTTTGGGGGAGGCTGTTGTGAGTAATAATAAAACTCTGGTGTCCCATTTAGCTGGCTCTGCCTGCATTAAATTCTTTCTCTATCGCACTTCTCCTGTCTTGATAAATCAGTTCTATCTGGGCAGCAGGCAAGATAAACCCACTGGGCAGTTACACTAGTTTTGCTGTCACACCTCAAACTGCCAAAGTGATAGCCACAGCGCATGAGAAGTGCTTAGTTAAGATGGAAAAGGTATTAAATTTGTGGGCAGAAGACATGAACAGAAATACATTCTGACTGATTGCAACTGGGTTGTGTACTCCATGGCTTTAGTTACCCACCAGGGGTATTACATCATATCTCCCTAAGATAAGGGGGAACTAGTGAGCAGTTTTATTTCAACATAGCCACTTCAACATACACACTTGCTGATGTATACATTGTATATGGCTGCTGTCTTGCTACAATGGTAGAGTTGTGTAGTTGTGATAGACACTGTGTCACCTGCAAAGCCTAAAATATTTACCATCTGGTCCTTTTTTTTTATTTTTAATGTTTATAGTGTATTTATTTATTTATTTTTTATTTTATTTATTTATTTTTTATTATTATTATACTTTAAGTTCTAGGGTACATGTGCATAACGTGCAGGTTTGTTACATATGTATACTTGTGCCATGTTGCTGTGCTGCACCCATCAACTCGTCAGCACCCATCAACTTGCCATTTACATCAGGTATAACTCCCAATGCAATCTCTCCCCGCCCCCACCCCCCCCATGATAGGCCCTGGTGTGTGATGTTCCCCTTCCCGAGTCCAAGTGATCTCATTGTTCAGTTCTCACCTATGAGTGAGAACATGCAGTGTTTGTTTTTCTCTTCTTGTGATAGTTTGCTGAGAATGATGGTTTCCAGCTGCATCCATGTCCCTACAAAGGACACAAACTCATCCTTTTTTATGGCTGCATAGTATTCCATGGTGTATATGTGCCACATTTTCTCAATCCAGTCTGTCACTGATGGACATTTGGGTTGATTCCAAGTCCTTGCTATTGTGAATAGTGCCACAGTAAACATACGTGTGCATGTGTCTTTATAGCAGCATGATTTATAATCCTTTGGGTATATACCCAGTAATGGTATGGCTGGGTCATATAGTACTTCTAGTTCTAGATCCTTGAGGAATCGCCATACTTTTTTCCATAATGGTTGAACTAGTTTACAATCCCACCAACAGTGTAAAAGTGTTCCTATTTCTCCACATCCTCTCCAGCACCTGTTGTTTCCTGACATTTTAATGATTGCCATTCTAACTGGTGTGAGATGGTATCTCATTGTGGTTTTGATTTGCATTTCTCTGATGGCCAGTGATGATGAGCATTTTTTCATGTGTCTGTTGGCTGTATGAATGTCATCTTTTGAGAAATGTCTTCTGTTCATATCCTTTGCCCACTTTTTGATGGGGTTGTTTGTTTTTATCTTGTAAATTTGTTTGAGTTCTTTGTAGGTTCTGGATATTAGCCCTTTGTCTGATGACTAGATTGCAAAAATGTTCTCCCATTCTGTAGGTTGCCTGTTGACTCTCATGGTAGTTTCTTTTGCTGTGCAGAAGCTCTTTCATTTAATTAGATCCCATTTATCAATTTTGGCTTTTGTTGCCATTGCTTTTGGTGTTTTAGACATGAAGTCCTTGCCCATGCCTATGTCCTGAATGGTATTACCTAGGTTTTCTTCTAGGGTTTTTATGGTATTAGGTCTAACATTTAAAGTCTCTGATCCATCTTGAATTAATTTTTGTATAAGGAGTAAGGGAAGGATCCAGTTTCAGCTTTCTACTTATGGCTAGCCAATTTTCCCAGCATCATTTATTAAATAGGGAATCCTTTTGTTTTTCTCTTGGTTTATTTTTCTCAGGTTTGTCAAAGATCCAATGGCTGTAGATGTGTGGTATTATTTCTGAGGACTCTGTTCTTTTCCATTGGTCTATATCTCTGTTTTGGTACCAGTACCATGCTGTTTTGGTTACTGTAGCCTTGTAGTATAGTTTGAAGTCAGGTAGCGTGATGCCTCCAGCTTTGTTCTTTTGACTTAGGATTGTCCTGGCAATGCGGGCTCTTTTTTGGTTCCATATGAACTTTAAAGCAGTTTTTTCCAATTCTGTGAAGAAAGTCATTGGTAGCTTGATGGGGATGGCATTGAATCTATAAATAACCTTGGGCAGTATGGCCATTTTCACAATATTGATTCTTCCTATCCATGAGCATGGTATGTTCTTTCATTTGTTTGTGTCCTTTTTTATTTCATTGAGCAGTGGTTTGTAGTTCTCCCTGAAGAGGTCCTTTACATCCCTTGTAAGTTGGATTCCTAGGTATTTTATTCTCTTTGAAGCAATTGTGAATGGGAGTTCATTCATGATTTGGCTCCCTGTTTGTCTTTTACTGGTGTATAAGAATGCTTGTGATTTTTGCACATTAATTTTGTATCCTGAGACTTTGCTGAAGTTTCTTATCAGCTTAAGAAGATTTTGGGCAGAGACAATGGGGTTTTCTAAATATACAATGATGTCATCTGCAAACAGGGACAATTTGACTACTTCTTATCCTAACTGAATACTCTTGATTTCTTGCTCTTGCCTGATTGCCCTAGCCAGAACTTCCAACACTATGTTGAATAGGAGTGGTGAGAGAGGGCATCCCTGTCTTGTGCCAGTTTTCAAAGGGAATTTTTCCAGTTTTTGCCCATTCAGTATGATATTGGCTGTGGGTTTGTCATAAATAGCTCTTATTATTTTGAGGTACGTTCCATCAATACTGAATTTATTGAGCATTTTTAGCATGAAGGGCTGTTGAATTTTGTCAAAGGCCTTTTCTGCATCTATTGAGATAATCATGTGGTTTTTGTCTTTGGTTCTGTTTATATGCTGGATTACATTTATTGATTTGCGAATGTTGAACCAGCCTTGCATCCCAGGGATGAAGCCCACTTGATCATGGTGGATAAGCTTTTTGATGTGTTGCTGAATCCGGTTTGCCAGTATTTTATTGAGGATTTTTGCATAGATGTTCATCAGGGATATTGGTCTAAAATTCTCTTTTTTTGTTGTCTCTCTGCCAGGCTTTGGTATCAGGATGATGTTGGCCTCATAAAATGAGTTAGGGAGGATTCCCTCTTTTTCTATTGATTGGAATAGTTTCAGAAGGAATGGTACCAGCTCCTCCTTGTACCTCTGATAGAATTCAGCTGTGAATCCATCTGGTCCTGGACTTTTTTTGGTTGGTAGGCTATTAATTATTGCCTCAATTTCAGAGCCTGTTATTGGTCTACTCAGGGATTCAGCTTCTTCCTGGTTTAGTCTTGGAAGAGTGTAAGTGTCTAGGAAATTACCCATTTCTTCTAGATTTTCTAGTTTATTTGCGTAGAGGTGTTTATAGTATTCTCTGATGGTAGTT